TCCCACCAGCAATGCAGGAGAGTTCCTTTTTCTCCACATCCTCGCCAACATTTGTTGTTGCTAGTTGTTTGAAGATGTGCCATTCTCACTGGGGGCTTCACCCCCTTTTTTAAGATGACTCACAGGTATTCATTCATTTTCTTTTAATAGAGTTTTATAGTTTTCAATATATAGTTCCTTCTCCCCTTTTGTAAGTTGACTCATAGGTATTCATTCATTTTGATATGATTGTAAATGGAATTATATTCATTATTTCCTTGTGAAATATTGCTTGCACATAAAAATACAACAGATTTTGTTTATTGATTTATAACTGCACTTTACTGTAATCACCTATTATTTCTAATTTTTACAGAGTTATGGGTTATCTGTCAATGTTTCTCTAGGTATACTAATGTCATCTAAAAATAGTGTGTTTCCAGTAAAATCAACCAGAAAGATAAAGAAAAATAGCAGATGGTTTCACTTACAGAAGGAATATGGGCGAACCAAATAAGACATGTGGGGGGGGTATAAAAATAGTGACAATAAAAAACAAAACAAAACAAAACAAACAAACAATTATAAACCAGAGACATCCTGCGAGGGATGAGGGGGAGAAGGTTCAGAAGGAGGGAGGAAGGAGAACAGGGACTGTGGTGATGGTGCATGGGTAAACTGAGGGAGGGAATTCTATGGGGTATATACCTGAGGTGGGAAATTATGCATTGTTTTAAAATGCATAATAATTCGTATATATATATATGTGTATGTATATATATTTACATATATATACACATACACACATATATGTATATATATAGTTATATATATATATAAATAAAAATAGTGAGTTTTATTTATTCTTTTCATTTTGGAATCCTTTTAAATATTTTTCCTTTAAAAAAATAATTATTTTTTGGGGGGGCTCTCCCTGGTGGCGCAGCGGGTTAAAGCACTACACTAAGAAGCTTAAGCCACTTCTGCATGAGTTCCATCCCCGCCTGCCCCGGAGGAGATCCACATGGCGCGCCAGACCTCTCCTGACCCGCCCGCTGCTCGCCTCAGCAGTGTACTTCCTCGATCTGCCTGTTCTGCTCCCCACTCTGTCTCTGATGAATCCTCTCACCCTCCGCATCTCTAGCCTGTACCCCAGTTCTGTATGAATAAATAAATAAATCTTTAACAAAAAAAATAATTTTTTCCCTTACAATGCTTGCTTTTTTTCCTCAGGTGTATTCCCTATAGAATTTCCACCACCTATTCATCCTTGCACCATCGCCATAGTCCATTATATTCTACCCACCCTTATTTTAATCCCTCTCCTTTGCCTTCCCCTGCAAAATATCTCTGAAACATAGTTGTATGATTAATTTTGTTTTGGTTTATTGTGGATTATTTTTTGTAGTTATTATTATATTTTCCTTGATACCCCAGTATTCCTCCTATATGTGAGACCATACGATGTTTTTACTATTTCCTTCTGATTTATTTCACTGAGTATAATCCCATCTAGTTCCATCCATTTGCTGTGTATGGCATCAGCTTATCTTTTCTGATTGCTGAATAGTATGCCATTATGTATACATACCATGTATTCTTGATACACTCATCTATTTTTGCACATTTGGGTTGCTTCCAAGTCTTACCTATTATAAATAGTGCTGCAATTAACATAGGGGTACAGGTATCCTTCTGAATTAATGTTTTATGTCCTTTGAGTAGATCCCTAGGTGCAGAATTTCTGGGTCATACGGTAGCTCCATTTTTACTAGTGGGAGGAAACTCCACATAGGTTTTGATAGTGGTTAGAACGGTTTGCATTCCCACCAGCAGTGTAGGAGAGTTCCTTTTTCACCACACCCTCAACCAACATCTGTTGTTGCCAAAGTTTTTAGTATGTTCCAGTCTTACTGTTGCAAGATGATATCTCATTGTGGTTTTGATTTTCATTTCCATGATTATGAAGGATTTTGAACATTTGGTTAATGTATTTTTTGCTACACAGAAGATTTTTAGTTTGGTGTAATTAACTTTTCCATCACTTTCTTTGCCTTGAGGAATGAGACTTTGATGCTACTTAGATGAATGTCATGTTGTGTTTTACCTTTATTTCCTTCTGTATATTTTATGGTTTAGTGCTTATGTCAATTCTTTAACAATTTTGAGCTGATTTTTATGCATGATGTGAGGTAGTGATATAGTTTCATTCTTTTGCTAATGGTGCCCAGTTTTCCTGTAACCATTTATTGAACAAACAGTCCTCATTCCATTCTATATTCTTTGCTTCTTTGTCAAAGATTAGTTGTTTGTATATGCATAGCTTTATTTCTGGGCTTTCTATTCAAATCCATTGTTCTCTGTGTTTAACTATTTTTGTTACAGTACCATACCATTTTTATTACTATTGCTTTCTAGTATAGTTTGAAGTCTGTGGGTGTGAGACCTCCATCCTTCTTTGTTTTAGTTAGAAGAACTTTGGCTATTCAAAGTTTTTTTGTGGCCCCATATGAATTTCATCAATATATGTTCTATTTCTTAGAAGAATGTCATTGAAATTTTAATTGGAATAGTTTGCATCTGTAAATTACTTGCAGTTGTATGGCCATTTTGATAATGTTAATTCTTCCAAACCATGAGCAGGGATGTCTTTCCATGTCATTGTGTCTTCTTATATTTCTTTTACCTATGTTTTATAAGTGTTTTTGTATAGGTGAGTCACTCATCTCCTTGGTTATATTTATTATTTTTTTGTGTGTTTCAGTTGTAAAAAGGATGCTTTACTTACATTTTTTCTCCTTCAGATTGATTGTCTACATATGGAAAAGCAAATGATTTTTTAGTGCTGATTTTGTATCCTGCTATTTTACTAAATTTTTGATTGTTTTGATTTGCTTTTCTGTGGAATTTTTAGGGTGCTCTATGAATATTACCATATAATCTATAAATAGTGATTGTATCACTTCTTCTTTTCTTATATGGATTCCTTGTATGTCTCTTTTTTTTATTGCTCTGACTAGGACTTCCAGTATTATATTGAAATGCAGTGGCAAGAATGGACATCTTTGTCTTAATACTGATTTTAAAGGAAAGACTATCAGGTTTTCACCATTGGTAATAATATTGGCCGTGGGTTTGTCATATATGCTCTCTACCATGTTAAATTGTATTACTTCTAGTCCAAGAATTTCAAGGGCCTTCGTCATAAGTGGATGTTGAACTTTGCCAAATACTTTCTTCACATCTATTGATACAATCATATGGTTTTTATTTTCTTTTTGTTGATGTGTTGGATTACATTAATCGATTTTTTGATGTTAAACCATACTTGTGCCCCTGGAATTGATCCCACTTCATCCTGGTGTAATTATACCTTTGATGCATTGTTGGATTCTGTTGGCAAGGATTGTGGATATTTATTTATTGTGGATATTTACATCAGTGTTCTATAGGGAGACTAGCCTCTAGTTTTCTTTTTCATTGTGTTGTCTTTGTTGGTTTTGTTATTAGCATGTGACTTCAACAAATTGAAAACTGTTGCCATTACATAATGGCATATGTTAAATATGCTTCATTTTGTTTTCTAGGGTCAAAGTATTTTTGGGATCGATGTCATTGAAACACCGGAAGGGGACAAGATGCCACAACTGATTGTTCAAAAAGAGTTAGATAGAGAAGAGAAGGATACATATGTAATGAAAGTAAAGGTCGAAGATGGTGGCTTTCCTCAAAGATCCAGTACTGCTATATTGCAAGTAAGTGTTGCTGATACAAATGACAACCACCCAGTCTTCAAGGAGAATGAGATTGAAATCAGTATACCAGAAAATGCTCCTGTAGGTACTTCAGTGACACAACTCCATGCCACAGATGCAGACATTGGTGAAAATGCCAAGATTCACTTTTATTTCAGTAATTTAGTCTCTAGCACTGCCAAGAGGCTATTTCATCTCAACAGCACCACTGGACTTATCACAATCAAAGAACCACTGGATAGAGAGGAATCACCAAATCACAAGTTACTGGTTTTGGCAAGCGATGGTGGATTGATGCCAGCAAGAGCAATTGTGCTAGTAAATGTTACAGATGTCAATGATAATGTTCCATCAATTGATATAAGATATATCATCAATCCAGTCAATGGCACTGTGGTTCTTTCAGAAAATGCCCCACTCAACACCAAAATTGCTCTTATAACTGTAACAGATAAGGATGCTGACCAAAACAGTAGAGTCACATGTTTCACAGATCACGAAGTCCCTTTCAGATTAAGGCCAGTATTCAGTAATCAGTTCCTTCTAGAGACTGCTGCATACCTTGACTATGAGTCTACAAGAGAATATGCCATTAAGTTACTGGCTGCAGATGCTGGCAAACCTCCTTTGAATCAGTCATCCATGCTTCTTGTCAAAATCAAAGATGAAAATGACAATGCTCCAATTTTTACTCAGCCCTTCATAAGTCTCTCTGTTCCTGAGAATAACTCTCCTGGCACCCAGTTGACTAAAATAAGTGCAATAGATGCAGACAGTGGACAGAATGCTGAGATCAGTTACTTGTTAGGCGTTGATGCTCCATCTGAATTCAACCTGGATCAGCATACAGGCATTCTGACAGCAGTGAAGAAAATGGATAGAGAAAAACAGGAAAAATATTCTTTCACAGTTCTGGCAAAAGATAATGGGATGCCACCCTTAATGACCAATGCCACTGTCTTGGTAACTGTTCTTGATCAGAATGACAACAGTCCAATTTTTACTCACAATGAGTACAACTTCTATGTCACAGAAAATCTTCCAAGACATGGCACAGTAGGTCTGATCACTGTAACTGACCCTGATTATGGGGAAAATTCTGCAGTAACTCTTTCCATTTTAGATGTGAATGATGAGTTTACCATCGATCCACAGACTGGTGTCATCCGACCAAATATCTCATTTGATAGGGAAAAGCAGGAATCTTACACTTTCTATGTAAAGGCAGAGGATGGTGGTAGGATACCGCATTCTTCAACTGCCAAAGTAACTATTAATGTAGTTGACGTCAATGATAACAAACCAGTTTTTGTTGTCCCTTCTTCTAACTACTCCTATGAATTAGTTCTACCATCTACTATTCCAGGCACAGTGGTCTTTACTGTAGTTGCTATTGACAATGACACGGGTATGAATGCAGAGCTCCGTTACAGCATTATAGGAGGAAACAACAAAGGTCTTTTTATAATTGACCAAACAACAGGCAACATTACTTTGAAGGAGAAATGTGTTGTTGCAGACCTTGGTTTACACAGATTAGTAGTCAAAGTTAAGGACTTAGGACAACCTGATTCTCTGTTCAGTGTTGTTTTTGTTAATCTATATGTGAATGAGTCAGTGACTAATGCTACGTTTATTCATGAACTGGTGCACAAAAACATCAGAACACCAGTCACCCAAAATATTGAGACAGCTGATATATCTTCACCAACCAGTGACTACGTCAAGATCATGGTTGCCATCGTTGCTGGTACCATAACTGTCATCCTTGTTATTTTCATCACTGCTGTAGTACGATGCCGGCAATCACCACACCTTAAGGCTGTTCAGAAAAACAAACAGAATTCTGAATGGGTTACTCCTAACCCAGAAAACAGGCAGATGATAATGATGATGAAGAAGAAGAAAAAGAAGAAGAAGAAGAAAAAGAAGAAGAGGAAACATGTACCTAAGAATTTGTTGCTGAATTTTGTCACTATTGAAGAAACTAAGACCGATGATATTGACAATGATGGAAACAGTGTCACACTAGACCTCCCTATTGAACTGAAAGACCAAACCATGAGCAAATACAACTGGGACACTACACCTACTACTTTCAAGCCTGACAGTCCTGATTTGGCTCAACACTACAAATCTGCCTCTCCACAGCCTACCTTCCAGATACAGCCTGAAACTCCCCTAAACTCCAAGCACCACATCATCCAGGAACTTCCTCTTGATAATACATTTGTGGCATGTGATTCTGTCTCTAAGTGTTCTTCCAGCAGTTCTGACCCCTACAGCATTTCTGAGTGCAGCTATCCAGTGATAACATTCAAGACCCCTGTGTCTGTACACACCAAACTGGTAGGTAATCCAAGTTTCCCACTGAACTTTTTAACTTTAAAAAAATTATTTCTTGTTGAAGTAAAGCTTTACAGAATCTATTAATTTCATCAAAGAACGAAAAGAATCAATCATACTCTATAGATGTATCCAAATAGATATATGGATCTGTTTAGAAAATCCAAAAAAGTAATGGAGGAAATTTTGTCTTTACATAGCAGTATTTCACTTGTTATAGAACATTCTAGAAAACTCCAAAAGAGAGTATCTTAGCACTGCCGTAAGTAGAACTGCATTCATGAAAATCAGAACAGTTGGGGCTAGAAAAATCAGTCAAGATTTTTAGAATCTGATAAGCAGGACTTAGTGGTGCTGGGAAAATTTTATTTGCCTTAGATAATTAGCCTAGATACCCACCCCAAATATGATGTTCACAAAACCCACCAAGAAAAGTGTTGTTTCTAGGTTAGAACTCACCATTATACTGGTTCATAAAATCTATATTCACTCAATGTAACAAGAATGACATTAGAAAAATGAAAGCTTACTACTTATCGGAATCTTCAAGCCAGAGAATGAAATATATATGAGATCTCTATTTTAGACATCCATTTGAGAATTTGCATGTTTATGCAAGGTATTGGGTGCCCTTCAGGAGACATGCTTAAAAGAAAATAACTTGAAAAATGAAATATGTTTGCTTTCTCTAAAGTTCATAAAGAAAAACACAGGTATATTATGACCCACGTAATCAATGAACAATAATTTAAAAACTCAATAGGTTTACATAAACAAGAGTTGATACAGTACTTTCAATCTGTATTCTGTGGAAAAGAAATTTTAAAATATCTTGACATCCATGGGTAAATGATTTAATTATATCTATTTCCTTGATAAAATCAAATGATAAAAGTCATGGAAGCATTTTATTCTGATGCCATGACACATTGACTTTATTATTTTTATCTGTGCTGTTCTTAAAAAAGCTTCTTTTCAGTTACAGTGAATAAAGTTTTTATGAAATCACATTCAGGCTTAATCAAATGGAAGTAATGTGAAAGTAAAAAAGGTTTCTCACACTAAAGATGGAAATATTGAAGAAGTTTTTTTCTAAATAATACTGAAAATAAGTTACCATAATTTAGGATGTGGTTTTAAGAATTGAGGTCATTCAAGAATATGCATAGTTAAATTATACAATAAGATTAATTTTAATCACACAGTGATGGTAATCTACTAATTCAGTTGTAGATGAATTTTGTTACAATATGTCAGCAATTAATGCTACTGCAAATAGTAAAATGGAATTATAGCCTATGTAAAGAGTTTTTACACTTTGAGTTTACAGGGCAGTGGTTATTTCTAAAGTTTAAACGAGTTCCATGTTTGTCTATAAGCAAAGCTTAAATGACTAACAGTTCGTTGGAGTGTACTTGGGGTTGTATCTAACAATTCAAAGGGTTTTTAAAATATATTTACAGCTCTTATGTTATATATTGGAAAAATTTCTCAATAGAAAAATATCTTCTGGAATAGCAGTTTATATTTTGTGCATCCTACTAGCATTTTTCTTCCTGAGCTAAATTTGTGACTCAGAGTAAACAAAGAGTGGGTTTGTGAATTATTTTTGCAGACCATCATTTTTAATAAATTGGCTTGAGAAGGTATTTAAAAGAATAAATCCTGGTTTTAATTCTTTCTAAAGACATAGAAATATTTTATGAGCCTAGACTACTTGAATATGCAGTAAGTAGGGGCTTGGGTAATGAAAAAATATTGAAATATTTACCAAAAAATATTTCCTTTTGTTGATTTTTTTTTGTATTTTGAAGTTCTTTAAAAAGTCAATAAAATTAATAATTTCTCCATCAAAGCACTTTATTTAAATATCTTTCCATAATCATGGGAAATTCACTTCATGAAATAGACAACATATGAAAATTAAATGTTAATGAGAACAAGTTATTGACTATCACTATGATTTATATTAGCTGAAAAGGCTATTTTAGAATTGGTGAGTTCTCAGATGACTTGTCCTATTTTTTACATCTTAAAAAATAGGTAAATTTATATTTTTGTCATTTCATCACAATTGCTTCAGATTAATTATTAAGTATCTTCAGGATGAGAATTGGTGAACTCAGGCAGAATAATGATACTAAAAATAATTAAAGTTTTGCATTTTGTGCTGCATTTGTAATGTTTGTCACCATTTTTACATATTATTCAAGTTCTTATTAATGCAGGAGAGACATCATATATTCACTGATGTTGCAGAATGCTAAAATGAAAAGTGAGGACTGAAAAATAATATATGCATTTAAAAATCTATATATAGTAGGTGTGTTCTCTAAAGACGACATATCACACAAAATGGAGAAAAATGCCAGTCAACGTAATAAAAATCCATTGTTCCTTAACAGTGGGATGAAATTTTACTCTTAGCAGAAGGCATTAATACTCCTCTTGAGCTCAAAATGAGGAATACATTTTCAAGAGGAAGGTTTAAGGTTATATTTACATCTAGTAATGGTAGGTATAATACATTAATTCAAAATCTAACAGCAGTTTGATTTAGTTTAGAATAGGTTTGATACTCACTATTGTTAAATTCAGTAACTTTGATTTTGTGCACCTGTATTTTAGTATATAAAATTTCAGTCATGTGGCATGCTTGGGACTGAGAAAGAACACCACCATCTGATTTTGATAACATGTTATTTTTCTTGTCCTAGACTGAATCCAGGACAATCAACTAATGAAATCTGCAATGAAATATAAAGCTGTCTAGGAACATCATAATCCCATTTCCCTTCCAAAACAATTCCAATGATTTGTGATTTCCAAATTTGACTATGTTCATTAATTTTATGATCTAGATTTCCACTATAAAGGAAAGCAAGACAAAAACCACTTCAAAAACTAACCCCCACAGAAAATTTTCCCAATTTTAGTTGCAGCATTTAAAATTTATTGGAGAAATCATGCAGTATAATAAATGGATTTTATTATACGGTTTCCCCACTTTCTTGCTCCAAATATTAGCAACTTGATATAATGCTGTCTTGGTGTATAAACTAATGGTTAGTAGATCAATTATGAAATCTGTAAATAATTTCCTGTCTGATTGCTAAAGAATTTACACATACTCTGTGGATGATGTTTGTCAGGTTTGGAAGTGAAACTGCCCTACCCAAATTATCCTGTGAAAAGTATCCAGGACAAACACAAAGGATTTTATTTAACATACCAGAAACAAACAATAAGAAAACCCACTTTAGTTCACTTTTGAGAATATTCAGTTAATACAGTATTGCTGAGAAAATAATTACCCATCACTTTGCTTAAATGTTAGACGACATTAAAATAATTTTACTGTATTTTTATGTTGACTGTAACCATGTTGTTCCAGTAGTTTATTTTATTCATTATTTTTTATGATCATGTTTTCTTTTCTTATAAGTGCTGTTTTGTATGTCAAAAGTAGAATGTAAATATCTTTATACTCCTTGATATTTTGAAAAAAAAGTATTGATACTTGTATTATTAACATAACTCCAACCATATGTGAGTAGAACTATCAACTTAGATAGTTGTATTTTTTACATCTTAAAAAATAGGAGGTTTTTTGAAGATATATTCTTAATTCTGAAACTTCCTAGGGAAATACAAGGTACTAATATCAACTCTAAATCTATCTTATTTTTCTGGCATTAGTTACTGACTATATTTTATTGCTTTAGGTAATGTACATTTTAAAATCATCTCATCTTTCACAGTATGTTGATTAATTCAATTCTCACACAGATGAGTAAATGCCTCAAATTGGTTTACATCCAATTTTATCCAGGAAAGAATTTTCTGTTACAATTTACAATATGTTTTAAGCTGTTTATGACTATTAAGACAATTAGAAATTTTCTTGAAATAAGCTTGAATCCTTGAGACAAAAAGGGAATATAAAGAATGCTTACAATCATATTATAACATGTGCTTTCTGAGTTTTCATTCAAATGTTTCATTGTATATAATTAATTTTTTGAAATGTGAATGGGATTTAGTATATTATGTATGACATTAAATTAGTGTATTATTTGAAGTGTTCCTTGAAATATGGGTATTTGTGCTCTATTTAGTGTTGAAAATTAGTATAATTCTTGGAAATTGCTATATAGGTTAATATTTCAAATAGGTTTCTTTCAAACTTTAGTTTAAGATTTTTTTACTCAATACAAAACTCTCTATAACTACAATAATACCAACCTGGTTCTTTAAGCTTTACTTAGTTAACTGCAATGACAGTGGGAGTAATTACTTTGCTGATAATGAGAAATACCATAAAAATTAAAATATTATATTACATACTTATGAACAGATATTACAAGAATACACTTAAATTTTACCTTGTGGATATTACTTATTTAAATAATTTTATAATAGGGCCTTGCTGGTATTGCAGGGTTTAAAGGCTCAGCACTATCAAGCTATAGCTAGCCACTGCCACCTAAGTTCTATTCTAGGCTAAGGAGCTGACCCCCATGGCATGGCAGACCTTCCTTGTTTTGACCACTGCTCCCCCCAACAGTACATTTCAGTTGATCTGCCTGTTCTGCTCCCCACTCTGTCTCTAGTGAACCCTCTCTCCCCCTGCACCTCTGACCCATACCACTGTTCTTGTATTCATAAATAAATAAATCTTTTAAAAAATAAATAAATAAAACAATTGCTCCAATCATTTCATCTTGATAAATTGACTACTTCTGTTTTACTTCATATCATTCCAAGGAACATCAAGATTGAACCAATTTATATTCCCAGAGAAAGCATCTGTTGATAGAAAGATGTACAAATAGTAGGAGTTTCCAAACTCTAGTTTTGATTTAGTTGTGAATGAAAGAATGGTCACCAGTAAAATAAATTAATGATGCATTGTCTTATAATAAACTATTGTGAATCCATGACTTTTTGTATATGTAATTATTACATAAATGCATTTTAGATGTTGTGTCATGTCCACCCAT